CGAGCGACCGCCGCTTGTCGGCGAAGTTAGTGGCAAATTTGGCCGCGCCATAGCTCAAGCGGTTAGTCGCTGGCTTCCCACCGCGGGCGGCCCGGGTTCGATCCCGGGTCTGTTCAAGTGAGATTTGTGGTGGACAAAATTGGCTGGGGCAGGTTTTCTCCTAGTACTTCGGTTTCCCCTGCCAGTCTTCATTCCACCAATTGCCCCACAATCATCCTCACCTATCATCTGGGGCTGGTACAATAGGCCAGAACTGACCGCAGTACAAGGGACTTGGTCCCACCCTACTACATTAAAAAAAATTACTTACGGAGCTGAGCCCTTCTTGAGGAGAAACCAAATCTGCAGCTACTCAAGAATTTCCCAGCATTTTATGGAACCTGAAGGTTCATTGCCGTGTTCACAAAACCCCTCCACTCGTCCCTATCCTGAACCAGATCAATCAAATCGACACCATCCCATCCTATTTCTCTAAGATCCAGTTTAATATTATCCACCCACATACGCCTTGGTCTTCTCAATGGTCTCTTTCCTTCTGGCTTTCCCACCAATATCCTATATGTATTCCTCTTGTCCACCATTCGTGTTAATTCCCTACTATCTCATCCTCCTTGACTTGATCATTCTAAATATACTTGGAGAAGAGTACAATGTATGAAGCTCCTCATTATGCAGTTTTATATGCAGTAGAGACTTATGAATGCAGGAAAAAAAAAAGAGGTCAGTAAATCTAATTACCAGTCCATACATCGTCTATAGTCGCTCTGACACGTGATAATATCATTCTTTTTCCTTTGGCACTACAGCCCCAATTTGGACCTTGGCCTACCTCCATGAAATTCTCCGTTTCGCTTCGGTTTACTAGATCTTAGACATTCAGTAGGACTTCTTGGGAGGGTGATCAGCTCATCGCAAGGCCTCTACCTGTACACAAACACAGAAAAACGAACACACACAAACTAAACATCCATGCCCTGAGTGGGATTCGAACCCAAGATCCCTGCTTCCGAGCGAGCGAAGACAGTGCATACCTTAGACCGTTCGGCTGCCGCGACAGGTGACAATATAATAGCAATCGAGAAAATCAATTCTATTTAGAATTAATTAATTATTTCTGCCTGATGATGGCCCCACATGACCGAAATATCTTGTAAATTATATGAAACATAGACAACATGGTTTTCAACTAATAATGTAGGAAATTTTATTTTTGCAAGACTGCATTAAATATAAACATCAAGTGTTCGACTAATGCAACAGGGCGCCAAAATATAATATCCGCTTATTTTCTCACTTTAAGGTCATAAAAATTGGATCAGATCACAGGTAGCTCTTAATCTTTAGTTCGTTCTGCAACTGGAATAACAGTGTGAAACGGGTCTTTATTATCAATTCTGATAAAGCAATGAAAACCAACAAGTTAAGAATGAGGGAAGATTCTTGTTATTTATATATTATATCTTTTGAGAAACTCTCACCCTACACACCGTATATTATATTCGGTTCAACTTTACGGTTGTATCTGTAGATAACCTCTGTTAAGGTTTGTTTATATTCTTTGGGCCCCTTGTGTAATAATCACTGGGCTTTAAAGGGTTAAGTATAGGCTACGTCAAGTCCAGGAACGTCAGAGACAAAATTTATTGACGTTATTAACAAAAATGTAATATTTTAGGCCTAAAAATTGTAATTTTAGCACACGACATGAAGACGTATTGGATACTCGAGGTAAACGCCCCTAAATATTAAGCTTGGCAGTAGGTTTATATGGAGATATATATTTACCTTCATGCTTCGGCCGCTTTACTTCTAGGAAGAAAGAGCATCCGAGACCCATTTTATTAGATAAAGAGTTGACCTTAAGCCAAAATAGTATGTCGACGAAGAGAAATTCATTTCCTGTGTCCAAAATGTAACCCCTTTCTCAGAACCTATGGACGTTTTACTTTACGGATTAGACTACACCGGCTCGAAATTTTATTTCATGTACAAGTTTGTAATAATTCTAATCTTTCTGAAAAGTCTGGTAAAATTTCGTCTCGTTTAACAAAAATTTCCATGTACCTACAGAGGCATTTGTTGGTTACGGCCCATTAAAACGGTCAAATTCCTTAATACTTTCACCTTCGAACACAGATTTCCCTGAAAACTTATTTTACGAGCACTTTCTTTTAGTCAGATATAAAACAGAAGTAATGAACAATCTGGAATCTCAGTTGAAGCTTTTGGCCACTGAATCTGAACTAGATTAGTGAAACTACGACGTTAAGTGCTGCATACTAATTACTTCGTGAGCAGGCTACTCACGATGTTAGCAGCTGCTTTGACAATGCAGAATGAAGGGAAATAACAGCTAATTCTACTTTCACCCTTTCCAAACAAACGGATGGAAGTAAACTGACAATACAATACATACAATACATACCAATACATAGGTAAATATAAATATGTTTTGAGAGAATAACAAGGTCACTTAGAACTACGCCACCTGAATTTTTACATTTGTTGTTATCTCAGTATTAGTTAATGAATGTGCTTTACGTCATTTGAAGAGACTTAATTTTCGAGTGAGTCATGCAAAATGTAAAGCTATCCCTGTAACGGGCTGTGGAGGACCATAGGGTTGTGAGACGTCGAAGCTCCCACATTTTCTAGACAGTCCGCTCACAGATTGCAGTAAGGTTGTCAGCCTTAAGCTCTGGCCGCCCTTTACTTCCCAGGGAGATTCCTGGTACTCATTTCTGTTAGAGGCTGAGTCGACTCCAGGGCCATAGTGCGGCTGGAAGGATTAGGTCAATTGAAAAATTCAATGACCTCATCGGGACTTACCTTCCAGCTTGTAGCATAGTGCTTTAACCAACTACGCTACCGCGTGGCCCCTGTGTGATCCATATATCTAGTTTTAATTCTCTTCAACAAGAGCTTTTTCTTCAGTGATAAAATATGCAAAGATGAACATGAAATTTGCAAATAATTGAGACTGAGAAATTATTGTTGAATATGGATGGAAGTTTGAACAATGAGGAAACCACCACGGCGTCACAACACACTATCATTTTGGCGGTATAATTGTATATCGAACGTAGTGCTGGTCAAGTCGACGCTTGTTAGGAATCACGTTCCTCTGGATGCAGCTCTTCATGTTTCTCATTATTTCCTTCTATCTGCATTTAAATCAAGTCATCCCTCCTCCCTTTACAGCAGTTTTTTTTCTAAATTCCTAACATCAGTATATCAGTCAGCATCCAATCCAATAGTAGGGTCGACTCAGTAATTTCTTTGTTTTGCGTCCATTCAGATACTAATCTGAGACTTATTTCGCAGGGTGGAGGGTTGGCGTTCCACATCAGCCTGATATGTAGAGTGGCATTCTACATCAACGTGACCAGTTATCTGTTATGGTCAAGTTGCAGAAACGAGGTAAGTTTATCCTGTACTCTTAAATCAAGAACTTGAATAATATATCAGTTCACGTTTTTACGCATTTATCTCGTTACTTATTCAGTCAGCCTTCTATCCAATGGGTACCGAGGCCTCTTTCCCCTGGAGTAAAGCGACCGTGGCGTGAAGCTGACCACTCACCTCCAACTAGTGCCGAGGTCAACAAAACGTGGATCTATACATATATTCCCCCATACGTCTTCATGGCGTAGTGCTTAATTAGTTAAATACAGGGACAATTTTACCTTACCTTTACTTATTCAGTCATATACGTATTTGTGGTGGATATAAGCGTATATGCTTATTCAGTATTCTATACGCTATTTTCATTCTTTAATTAAAATAATGAAATGCAGGGAAGGATCAAAACATATAAATGAAGGCTAATGATTCACATAGTGATTTGTGGAGTCAAACTGGGTCCACTCGGCATGTCGGCCACTGATTGACCTATTGTACCTGCTTATGATGATGGAGAATTTGGTGTAATGAAGATTGGCAGGGGAAACCGAAGTACTCGGAGAAAACTTACCCAAATTCCACTTTGTCCACCATAAATTCCACTTGATCAGACACAGGCTCGAACCCGGGCTGCCGCTGTGGGAAACCAGCGACTAGCAGCTTGAGCTATGGCGCGGCCTTAAGGCTAATGAAACATGAATATAATTATTTATGAAATATCAGTGGAGACTGTTGTTAGTAAATTAGGAAATAGTTTGGAATACATACCGAAATTCGGCATTATATTAATAAATCAGGCATACGGAATAGTAGCAGTTGGCCAATGGAAAGAAGTTACGTAGCTGTTACCTCAACGCTGAGACATTCTACCTCATATTTGCGCTGTCTTATTTCCCTCATATTCAGGTTAGAAATATCATGAAGACTGAGGAAATATGTTTCCTTGAAACGCTATTACCCACCTACCAAATTAAGCACACAATATCACAATATAAATCTCCACCACACTGAAAACCTCTAATCTAACTAACGCCTCATTTTCGCTTTCAGTAATTTCGGTGTGTATGGCAATATGGAATATAGGCACATGGATGCAATTATTGATCAAATTTCAATTTCGTAAAATTTGTATAAGAGATGTGGATGTAATGTTCCATCAGTTTTTACCTCGAAACTGGACAGATGTGAGTGGTCAGTTTCACGTTTTGTCGCGTCATCCGGGCACCAGTTGGGTAGAAGACTATGTGAATGGTATGCATACGAGAGTGAGGCCATCATCTGAAATCAGTGTATAAAAATGACTCAGTGGACTCATAAAGATTTTAGGAGTAAGTAGTAGTCATACATACAGAGCCAAAGGAATGAAACAGAATATGAAAAACTCCGTGGCATGTAGTCCGCAAGCGTACTATACCGACCGAGCGACCGCCACTTGTCGGCGAATTTAGTGCCAACTTTAGTGGATAGATGGTGTCGCGTGGTCAGCGTGATGGATCCCCACTGCCGTAAATCCCGGGTTCCTAGACCGCAGCCACTAATTCTTTGAAATAGCTTCTCAATTATCCTCACGAGGCTGAGTGGACCCCGTTCCATACTCACTACTTCTCAGAAAATCTAGTAGCGCCGGGAATCCAACCTGGGATCTCTGGATCTGTAGCCAGGAACTCTGACCACTAGACCACAGAGGCGGCCATAGAAAATAAATAACAGTGTATAATTCAGGAACATTGTGTTCAAATTAATGAACTTAGAAAATGAATTTTAGGAAAAAATTGGATATTTATTTGACGTATGTGATTTTTCTGACATGCGTGTAGACCTACAAGAAAGCCTGCATCTGCAGAAGTCTGTTCTACTTCCATAAGTCTTGTGTATCTAATCATAGAACAAAAACTGAATTACTGCTCTGAGGAACTTGTCTCATTCCCTGATTTTCTGATTATTTGCTGTGAACATCGTAAACCAAATGAGGTGGTAACTGAGAAACATTTCTGAGATTCCTTATAGTCTCTCTCTAAATGGGAGACGGAGTAGCGTAGTCGGTATAGCGACTGGCCACGGGCTGGACGACCGAGAGTCCCGGTGGAGGCAAGAATTTTCTCTTCTCCAAGTCGTCCCATCCAATAGGTTCCGGGGGTAAAGCGGCAAGGGCATGAAACTGACCACTCACCTCTAGCTAGTGCCGAGATAAAGAAAATGGGGATCTATATTTCCACTCCACCATACGTCTTCATGGCATCGTGCTTAATTAGTTAAGCACAAGAACTACTTTACCTTACCTTTACCTTCTGTGCCAGATATTTTTCAAATATCATTAGCATCTCTTGGGTCACACCAAATGTATTCCGTCACGATTATTTTTATAGAATACCTTTCCAAAGGGTATTAAGTAATATTTTTTCTTTATTTGTGAAAAAGATTTCATTAATGTTGGATGGATGGATGGAGAAAGCGCGTGGAAATTTAGACGCACGGATAAGACACGAATTCTGTGCCATGAAATTTCAGGTTAAATCAAGTCTTTGGATATCTGCAGCATAAACATTCTTCACCTTCGAACAGCAATCTATGCTTGAACTTCGGCCAATCTTGTGTAATATTTCTTTAATTAAGCAAATAATTTAAACACATCTACTGTGTTCTGGACTATGTGATATTTTAGGTAACATTATAAATAATCTTTAAAATATTTTTGTTTCCATCTGGCATCGTTCTGCTGACATTCAAGCAAAACGGTTTAACGCCCCGAGGCAAGCACAATCAGTTGGTTGACGAAATAAATTCCTACCGTTTCGTTTCTTGACTTCTCAGTTAAGTTGAACAGGAGAATCGCTATAAAGGAACTCACTTCCTTCTCTTAGCAAAGAGTCAAACTGCTGAAGCATAGCGTTCAATAAATGCTGGGTCGGTGACACGAAATGGCAACAGTATTCGTTTTACTTGAAGCAGACGCATGGGAAACCAGCTTTCAACAATAAATTTGTTAACCGACTGCCTGGCCTAGAATTTATTAATCTGCTGTCGTCCAGAAACAAGATCTGTCACGACTCCTGAAATCGAGTATAAGGCAAGCCTCATTCCTTGGTCTGTTACGAGTCCACATGTTAACCTAACCAACATGTCACTCGTATATTTATTCATATTCATAACTTGTACTCTTCTCCAAGTATAATTAGAATGATCAAGTCAAGGAGGATGAGGTGGGCATGGCAGGTAGCACGAATGGGGGAGAACAGGTATGCATATAGGATATTGGTGAGAAAGCCAGAAGGAAAGAGACCACTGGGAAGACCAAGGCGTAAGTGGGTGGATAATATTAAAAGGAATCTTGAAGAGATAAGATGGGATGATATGGATTGGATTAATCTGGCTCAGAATAGGGACCAGTGGAGTGCTCTTGTGAAGACGGTAATGAACCTTCGGGTTCCATAAAACCTGGGAAATTCTTGAGTATCTGCAGAATTTGCAGCTCCTTAAGAAGGGCTCAGCTCCATAAATAAATAAGTAATTAGTTGTTGAATGCAAGATATTAGAACACCTCACGTTCTATGTTTACTCGCATTGCTATTGGTCGCTTTATTATGCATGCAAATATATGTGCAATATGAAAGCCAGTATCAAACAAAGTTGTAGTTAGTTGTATAGAGATATGAACCCAGTGTCATGAAAATGCACATGAAACTTCGGAGTAAAACTCTACACTTGCTAGATATCTAGGAGGTCAGTGGTCATCTTTACGCTCCAGCCATCTTTAAGTCTCAGAAAAATATAGTCGGAAACCACTGAAGGAACATATATATGGTCTATGCAGTACCTGTGAAGTTAGAACTGTAAAAACACTTTTGGAATATTGGCAGCTCTGAGATACATGAAAGATGTAAAGAATATTAACATTCCCTCTGTTACACGCATTTTGTTTTCATAGCCTTTTGACACATTTAGCATCGATAGAATGCACCAAATAAAAATAACAATATATTTTTTATTGTTAGTGGGGTGGACTAAGTCCCTTGTACTGCGGCCACTTCTGGCCTACTGTACTAGCCCCAGATGATAGGTGAGGGTGATTGTGGAGCAATTGGTGGAATGAAGATTGGCAGGGGAAACCGAAGTACTCGGAGAAAACCTACCCCAGCGCCACTTTGTCCACCACAAATCCCACTTGACCAGACTCCGTGATCGAACCCGGGCAGCCGCGGTGGGAAGCCAGTGACTAACTGCTTGAGCTTTGGCGCGGCCCTTTATATATAGTTAATACTGATTCATTTTGATTAGAGGCTATGAAAACTAACAAAATTTTCTGAAAAAGTACGTATCTGTATGATAAGAAATGTACGAGCTGGTGTAAAGTCTAAGATTGGTATGTACGTATGCTGAATTAAGGGTGGAGGAACTTTGTTGAGGAGGCATTCGTGGGCGATGATCGACAGTAACATGTGTTGAGGTTACTGAGGTTACTAATCAGCTTATTCGGGGGAATCGGAGAAAGAGCAATGATGAAATCGCATCCGAAATAAGACTGAGTCATTGAAGGAATTTGTTAATAATGACTTAAGACCCGGTTTAAAACGTTTTAACCTCATGTAACAAGCGAAACTGTTGACCGTTGGAAAAATTATTTGAAAAAAACAAGGACAATTAAACTTTAAAGCTCACATTATTGTGAGCACAATTCGCCTTATCATTAAAATGCGTTGAATTTTACCCTCAGAGTATATTTATCACTTTAGTATTATGCTGAGAATAAACAGCGATTGTTTAAGCAGTGTTAACAGATTTCTAAAGGAGATGCAATGTGTTCTCCGTGAGGTAGGAACTCAAAATTTCTGTATTATTTTGAAGAATTTCATGCTCCTAAAATTTAACTTGGGCGGATAAGATATATATAACTTCTCGTGATTATTTATTAGATTCTATATTTAAATTGATCTTAATTGTCTACTTAGACCCTATAGTTCTCTATATAGACGCGGGATGAATGGAATGTACTAGCTCAGACGATGGAAAAATTGATTATT